AAGAAAGTTTACTTGGAATTTTTGTGGTGTACTCAGCATTGTTGTGTTCCACAACAATGCCGAGTAAACAAATATAAGGTGGCATTGTTGATGACGTCATTTTTTGACGACAACGACTAATCACAAATTTTTATAGTAGATTGTATGAATAATGTAGCTTGTTCAACTTGTTGTAGGTGTTAACATTGCTGTTAGAATATATGAGATACTATCTACAATGTATAACGGGATCGGCTTGCCCACTGCAAGAGGTTCAGGAACAAATGGTTATGTTCAACGCAACTGGGCTTTTGTGCGAAAGACTAAAGATAAAGTAAATTACAAGACGGAAGAGGAACTCGAGAAGTTAGAAGCCACTAGCAACAGACAACCAAACCGTGACATTTTGGACCATGAAAGGAAGAGGAAAGTTGAGGTGAAATGTATTGAACTTGAAGAAATCCTTGAAGACCAAGGGTAAGTGTGTAACATAAAGAAGAGGGTTTTGTGAAATAATTTTAAATTCCTATGTTTTCTAAATGTCAAAAGCTACATGGCTGTGAAATGGCATTTTTGTTATTGCTGGCCAGAGCATTTAAGAGGACTTCATGGTTATAATATTTTTATGGAAGTGTTACTTCAAATATCCATGACAAGTGCTGAGATATTATTACTTCAGAAGGAGGTTACATTTAGGATAAAAAGTAGAAATGCAGGTGGTTTCAGTGATTCATAGATATGTATTAATGAGTTATTTTTCAGCCATCTTCAGCTGATAAGTAATTAAATTTTTGCAGGACAACCTTGTAACATAAAAATATAGAGCTTAATTTCAAACTGTATTATCACTTGCTCGTAAAGCAAGGTGGTATAAAGAACAACTTGCCAGCTTACTGCCTAATTGGAAGTTTTATCTATGTTTTGGAAAATGTTGTTAGTTAAACCACTTCCCTGATAATACAGTAGCTGCTTAAAGCACTTATTCCTGATACTTTAGTACATTCTGCACTGGCATAATAATTTCTTTGGCATGCACATTGAATTTTATATACTATAATTTCCTAACAGCATTTTGAATTTTGATCTGTAAAGTCTTCCAACTACCTAGGTTGTTTCTATAAACTTTATGCTTCATGTTCTACATGCATCCATACCTGGGGAACATGATAGCTGTTGTTCTCCTAATGTTTTGTTCTTTTATCAAAAGCATTTTGTAGAGCCCACATTTAATTTTATGAAGTGTGTGCTGAGTGTTACATTTGCCTTGGACCTATTCATATATCACATCATTCCTCATGTGTGTTTTCTCATTAACTTTAGGAAATCTGACTGAATGTTTTGTTACATACATACTTTGTATCACTTTGTCAGTTCCCATTTGGAAGCTGGGTTATATCTTCATGTTCCAAGACAAGTATTGATGCGCATACCATTTTTATCCGGTGTTTTTTCTGTTCGTTGCAATTGAGTTTATAGATTCCTGCGTGAGCCTCTGCACTTGTCTCTAGGTGGAGGGAGGCAGTCATAGGAGGACCTCAGTTTCAGCTGTAGGAGCTGTCCTTGTATCTCCAGTTATACCTAGACAGAACAGCCTCTGCAATTTGCAGAGTTCTGCTTTATTAGTTGTGTATTTGATTGTAGGCCAGTATATAAATTATTATGGGTCGTACTGCCATAGTGTATGTTCAATATAATGCATTAATTTTCAGTCCCCTTGTCCTTCCAGAAGTGTCTCTGCAGGTCCATGGAGATCTATAAGCCTTATTCATGAGTTTGTTCAGCTGGCCTATATGAATCCCTTGTGCAAAGTTGTTCTAAGGTATTTGACTTGCATGGTCAGCCCTAATTCCTCTCATTTCCTCATAATGTAAATTACTATCATCTTATTTGGGTTGAGTGCTCACCACTGGACCCAAGGGTCGCAGGCTCAATCCCGGCTGAGGTTGATGGATTTTTAAGGGTGATAAAAATCCATAGCACAACTTCCTTTGGAGGGGAAGTAAAGCCGGCGGTCCCATGTTGTAGATTTACGGCATGTAAAATAACCTTGCGAGCATGATACAAGATGTTTCGTAAGCAAAAATTCAGCATCCATTTCTCACCCAAGTCTCTCCTGATTCACTGCTAGATGGCTCTGGCAGTCAAATCAGGAGTGAGTAGAAATTGTGCAGAGGCAGTGGGCTGGTCATTCACTACTCATAAATGCAAGCTTCAAAGCCTATGAAATCTCCGAAAGGAGGCGGCGATGACTGATAGATAGATAGATATTTGGGTTGACAGACTCGCTTGTGCTCTTGAACCAGTGTTACACTGCTCCCAGAACCATTTGTGACACTTCTGAAACCATTGTAAGAAATTTCCTGCTTATAAGTACTGCATATCACACAGCTTAATGATTACCTTCATTGAGTTGCACAAGATGATTACCTTCCACCAGGCTGTCCAGCAGAGGTAACAGAACACTGCTGTGTAGACAGCCTTTGGCTGTGGATCCTTTTAGGTTTTCACCTGATACTGTAGCTCTTCAGTTTCTGATTTCCAGCATGAAGCTGATATGCCTAAAAATGGTTGGCTGAACTGCATGCTCTGTAGTAGCTCTCACTACTGCTTCAGACAAGGTTCTATTAAATGCTTTCTATATTCCAAGGAATTCCCCTGAGATTTAAGCTTATGTCCTCATATCCCATGGCATTTTCAGTTCATGTGACTAAATTGTGCCACACAGGTTCTGTAGGTTATGAGTTTGGCAGAGAAATCAATTTTTATGTGATAAATTATTCCTCAGAGCATTTTTCTTTGTGTGCCTTTCTGTTAACTTCCCCGTTGTATAAGAAAAACAATAGATTAATTGGAAAATTCCCTTGTCCTTGGTATAATTTGTCTTCCTGGGCTTTTGTATAAACATCACTTTCACCTGCATTCATACACCAAACAGACTGTAAATATGCGATATAAGCATAGGCCAAATGCTGTGCCCTGTGTTGAAGTGCTGGTACAATTTTTACTGTCTGTTGTGGTTTTAATTGTCCCTGTTCATTTTGCATGTCTGCATGTCCAGATGTGGTTGATCCTGTCCCCTGTTGGTAGTCTTGTTCAGATGTGGAAAGTTGATTTTTTGTAGTTCTTCCAAAGTCTCTTTTCCAGTCTGAGCACTCAGCCATCAGGTAGCTTTGTAGTCCTTCTCCTGTTTTGTCATGATTTAGGTGAGTCTGGCACTGCTTTGAATAGTTATAATCCAGCTCCATTAAAATACTTTAGCTGTCCTACTTTTTTTATTGTAGTAGGTGAGAGTCTTCTTACAGGAGTCCCACACACCTTTTAATTAGGCCTTATTAAATAGCCTCTTTGATTATGCTCTCAAGCTGCTCAACTATTTATTCCACTAAAGCACATTCTTTGGTGATTGAGAAGTTCTGGCTGGACAGTTTCGGGTGATTGGACGGAAGGATGGCCTGTTGCAACAGGCCAACAGTCAGCCTTGTAGCCTGCATTGAGTATGTTTCGTGGTATTACCTTGATCTTTCTTTAGGTCATCTTTGTAAGATCCCCAGTTGGTTCTCATGGTTTGGTTAAAAGTAACTTAAGTTAATTTTTTGTTACTGTTTGGAAGTGTATTTATCTGTGACTTGACAGTCAGGACTGATGTTAGTCATTCACTAGGTTTCCTTCTTCATTGATCAGTAATATTAAAACAGTAACCTCCTCCGTATTGCTGAGGTAGGTTTATTACCTTACCATTTCTGAAGATGGAGGCAGTATGTTGGACTGAAACATTGCTATATGTCTACATATGCACTTAGTATTACAACACAAAAACCCAACATTGACTGCATTGTGGAGTCCTCTTCTTTTTCTTTAGCCTTCTGCCTCTGTTGTCATTTGGTGTCTGTTTCTGTCCCCACTCTTGGTTGTTTTTCCTCTGCCATAGGTTGTTTGTCTTTGAAGTTCCCAGCTCCTTCAACATAGGATTTCAGAAGTTGCAGGTCCTTCAGTGTTCTGACTGTCCCTTTAGACTTGGCAACTACCATTTCAGAAGTGGTATCTACATAATTTCTTCCCTCTTTGACTTCAGAAGTTCCTTTTTCTGCATGCTGTGTTTTTATTGGTGCATTCTTTGTTAGTAACGGGACAGCAGCACATGTTAAAAAGTTTGAAGAGTGCTCAACTTGTTATTACCTCTGGTTTATATAAACAACCATTGCCACCATTTTTCAGTATGTGTGTATATATGAGTACTCCTCCCTGAAATTTGTAAGGTCTGAGGTGCAGTAGTTTGTCTAAGTCCTATAAAATGTTGTAGCACAGTTTCTATTAGAACAAGGGCTTGGTTGTCTTTATTCAGCTTATTTTTGGGATTACCCTTGTTCAGATCAGTCAAGGCCTCCTTATAAGTCCTTGGTCTTACCGAATCCCCGAACATTTTGGGAGGGCTGCCGTCTCTGTAGTGATAGTTTCTTCTGCCCTTGGTTTTTTAATAGTCCCAATCCGTGTTTCTCTTTGCATGAGTTCAGCCTTCTGCACTGGGTGCTATAAGTCCCTGGTACTGGGGTCTCCCCCAGCCCTTTTACATTTTGTCCTTGCACTCACAGATAATATGGCCCTTTCAGATGTGGCCTGCCTACCTTCAGGGCTGTGTGTTTAAGGTATTCTCCTTCCATGAGTTTCCTAGTACTACTTGCTCCCTGTGGTAGGATGTCAGAATCACTGGCACCTCCCTGGAGAGTGACCCTAGATGTATCCTGACAGGTTTCTTTCTACTGGAGAGGCCCTACCCTTGGCTAACTCGTCACTTTCCGTAGCTTTGGTGGTCTTGCCAGCTCACTGTGTTGATATGCTGAAACCACCAGCTCTGTGTTGAGGAGTATCTACAATTTTTGTGTGTATGTGCCTCCTGGTTCAAAGTTCCTGTGGATTTTTTCTTAATGTTTTTTATTTAATACTGGAGTTTCTTATTTTGATTCGCAAATAACTTGGATCTAAAAGCCATAACTGCACAGCTCCGTGCTGCCTGGTTCCCCGAAGGGGCTGTTAGCATCTGTCCTTTTCACATCATTGTTACACAGCCCTTAGCACAATGCTTCGCTTCTTGGTTTTGGTATATCAGAGGCCTGTTAGTTGTCTCTGTAATGTGGAGGACAGATTTTGAAATGTTGAGATAACTTGAGTTCAGTTCTTTATTTATCTACCAGAGTATGAAAGAACCATCAGGTGGTATGAGACATGTTTCATGAACACATCTGCCCATTGTGATGGACGGCAGTATCTTTGGCTTCAGAAGCAAACCACGCAGCAGATCAGTATATTCAGTAATGTTTAATAAACGAACATGATTTTCACTGCTGATGAGGAAGAGTTTTATAGATCGGTTCAAGTCTATTGTCTACAGATTTAACAGTGCATGGGCTGATAAAGTATGTGCAGGATTGATAGTTACATATAATTAGTTTAGAGCAAGCACAGAATGGGGTATTGTAAAT